TACTTCGTTATTAATTTGGGGTGCACACAAATTACTTTTGTTGTATGATTAATGTTTGTTTCTTTTTAGTTATCGAGTGATGCTCTAGAGGCAGGAAGTGGCAGCCGAGTAACTTCCAGTGTGGCAAAAATTGAGAGTCTTCTTCTTTTAATTTTACCGCGGTTGGCATCCAGTGTTGGTGCATTACCACCACCTTCAGCTCTGGAGTGTGGACCAGAGGTTAGGTTTACATACTAATCAAATTTATTCACCCTCTTTTCCACCCCTTCTCATTTACACACATATTTACACACACACCTCTGCCCTACTCCTATGTTATACTAATAACCATAATACACTAATACTACAATGTACTCTAATACCATAATAATAATAACCACCACAGTACTCTTACTCCTACTTTTATTTCTACTACTTCCAATACTTGGTTATATTTAACACTATTCCCTTTACCTTCTATTATAATTTAAATAATTTTTTTTTATTTAGTATCATAAACACCTGTTTCTCTCAGGAACTTAAGTATTCTGGTCTGAATCCTGTCCTTTGTACTAAGTAAACATTTTAATGCCATTTCCTGAATCCCTATCTCCCTTAGATCATTTCTCATTTCCTCCCTCTGCTTTTCATACCTTTTGCATTTTAGCATCACATGTTCTACTGACTCCTCTTCACTACATCCCTCACATAATCCAGTTTCATGCTTTCCTAACAATTTAAGTGTTTTATTTAATAAACAATTACCCAGTCTTAATCTTGTTATTATTATTTCTTCTCGCATGTTACTTCTACTGACTCTTGTGTGTAACAACCTGTTGAATTGCATACAAATGCCTTCCTTTCTTTTCTCTGACCCATATTAGACTTTTCACGTCTACTTTACTAACCCTTATTTGCATTTCTACATTTTCTTTTGTTAACGCCCTATTTGTTAATCTGTCAGCCATTTTATTTCCCTTTATCCCTACATGACCTGGAACCCATATAAACTTCACCTCCTTTTCCTGACTTGTTATTTTTGTTATACACTGTAGTACTCCATACAAAATATTTTGTCAACTTGAAGAAAATGACCTTAAACTTTCAAGAGCTGATGCCGAGTTTGAATGTACCAAGATTTTGTCTTGCCCTGTCAATTGTACCCATCTCAATGCTACTAATATAGCAAGCATCTCTACTGTGTACACTCCCACATAGTCTGAAGTCCTTCTATTTATTTTTCTATTTTTTTCTGGTATGACTACCCTAATTCATACACTCCAGTTTTTGGATTCTTTGCTCCATCTGTAAAAGTCCGACCAAAATTCTCCTTTTGACTTTTCCCATTTTCCTAACTCTCCTGTAATACAGATTTAGTGATATGTGAATTTGTATTCCCTTGTAAACCTACCCAATAATTAGCCATCAACTGCGTCTTTCTTAATTCCAGTGGCAATTCTCTCATTTCCACGTGAATAGCTGACACTGGTGTTCTCTTAAAAGCTCCACTACATTTTTTCAGTGCCTCAGCCTGAATTACTTCTAATTTATTTAATTTTGACTTGGCTGCTGAACCATATACTACACTACCATAATCTAATACTGACCTTATTAGAGATACATACATTCTATACAGCGATTGTGAGCTTGCACCCCAATCCCTTCTAGATCAGGCTGGTCTGCCCGAGCAGGTGCGTCCAATTCCTACAAGGCTTTGGCCCCGCGTCCTAGCATGATGGGAAAGAAGCAGGGGGTCTAAGGCCAGGCTGGTCTGTCCAAGCAGGTGTCTTCATTTCACACGAGTCTTCAGCCCCACATCCTGGCACAATGGGAAAGAACCAGGGGATCTAAAGCCAGGCTGGTCTGCACGAGCAGGTGCGTCCGTTTCCCGCGAGCCTTCAGCCACTCGTCCTGGCACGATGGGAAAGAACTAGGGGGACTAAGGCCAGGCCGGTATGCCTCAGCAGGTGTGTTTGTTTTCCGCAAGGCTTCAACCACGCATCCTGGCCTGATGGGAAAGAACCAGGGGGTCTAAGGCCAGGCTTGTCTGCCCGAGCAGGTGCTTCCGTTCCCTACGAGCCTTAGGCTGCACGTCCTGGCATGATGGTAAAGAACCAGGGTGTCTAAGGCCAGGCTGGTCTGTCTAAGCAGGTGTTTCCGTTTCCTGCGACGCCAAATGCCTCTGACCTGCCATCAGGATTTGGGGGATGGCATGAAATTGTGGACTTTGTGCGGTTTAATGAGCCCGAACAGCTGGGCTCGAAAAAAGCAGGGGCTCTAAGGCCAGGCTGATCTGCCCGAGCAGGTGCATCTCTTTCCTGCAAGCCTTTAGCCGCGCGTCCTGGCTAAAAGGCAAAAAAGAAGGGGATCTATGGCCAAGCCGTCTGCCAGAGAAGTTGTGTCTGTTTCCCAAGAGCCTTTGGCTGCGCATTCTGGCAAAATGGAGGGTGGAGGGTGCTAGTAGTCTCCGATGAGGTGAAACAAGCCAGGGTCAGTGGTGCGGGGGTTACGGTCTGACCCAAGTTTGATGGTTGGTTAATGATATGGTTCCAACAGCCATGCAAAGGCTCACACGGCTGGCGTTACCCCCAAAAAAGTGTGTGTTCGATCGAGTTCTATGATTCCCTTTAAAAAGGGAAAAGCCATGCAAAAGCTCCCACGGCTGGTGCAGTAAAGCTGCCCTAAACTGTGTGTCTGTTTGGTGGGGTTCTATGATACCCTTTGAAAAGGGAAAAGCCGTGCTCAAGCTCCTGCCGCTGGTGCAGTAAAACTGCCAAAAAAGGTGCATGTTCGATAGGGCTCATACCATCCCTTCGTGGGAAAGACAAATAAAAAAAAAGCTGTGCAAAAGCTCCCACGGCAGGCACAGTAAAGCTGCCAAAACGGTGAGTGTTCGATGGGGCTCATACCATCCCTTTGTGGGAAAGAGAAAGAAAAAGGCTGTGTAAAAGCTCCCACGGCTGGCGCAGTAAAGTTTTGGTACATTGTTCCTTGGACAACCATGGTTCCATTAAAAGGGGAATGGGGAAATCCCCTAAAAGTCGTAACAGCTTCACAGTAAAATCATCAGAGTAAAATTTACTCAGTTCAGAGAATATTTGGTCCCTCTCTAAATTGAGCAAAATTTACTCAGCAGCAGAGTTAAAGATAATGAGACAATGATGGGGTTAATTAAGCGATGATTGAGCACTGATGATGAACACCTGCTGTTAATAAGCAGAAACAGAAGAGAAGCAGCAGCAGCTTCACTCTTTGGTTACCTGATTGACTTTATTTGTCAGATGTTCAGAAAAAAGTCCATATAAGATTTATTGAGAATTAACTGTTTTAGTTCTTTACATTTTACAAAAAAAAAAAAAAAAAAAAAAACTTTATTTTACCCTGATATCACCACCATGGAGAAAAGTGTTTGATTTACTTGGACTCAATTTTTAATGTTAATTTTTCTTCGTTTGCTATAACAAATGTAAAGAGAGCAAATGTGAACAAGTTGACTGATCCGGTATTGATTTTTACTCTTGACAAGAGTAAGTGTATAAGAGATTATGTTTGACTGTGCTAATTATGTTTAAATGATGGTTTATCACATAAGAAACTAAATTCAGTGTTTATCAGGAGAGTGGACCTCAGCTGTGGTTTTATATATATATTTTGAAACATACTGAACATCTGAGTCAATACAGAGACACAGACATCATTAATCAGCGTATCTATCTCAACAGTGGTTAGAGATTTATTTATTTTTGGCTGCAGTGCATGGTAAGAGAATCATACGACATTCATCCATAGTTCCCAGCATGCACTGAAAAAAAAGAAAAGAAAAAAGACTCACCATAGTTGAGAAGCATACGCTGATTCTTTATGTCTGTGGGTTTTCAGTGTTTCAGATCTTCAATGTGTTTTATGATTCAATTCAATTCAGCTTTATTTGTATAGCACTTTTACAATGTAGATTGTGTCAAAGCAGCTTCACATAAATGGTCATAGTAACTGGAACAGTGTAGTTCAGTTTTTAGTGTTTAAGTTCAGTTTAGCCCAGTATCTCATGATCTGATAAAAGTATTGGTGAGCTAAATTATCTGCTGTGCTCCTTTTGTGATACAACATTATTTAAACTTATTAGGTTAAAACCAATTTTACTGAATTGACCAGTGACAAAACTACCACAGAATCTATTACCCAGAGCACAATTGCTCTCTTTATACAATATTTGCCCTAATAGACTATTTGGTAAACAAAAAGAAACAAATATTAGAAATTGAGTCCAAGTAAAGAAGCTACTGTTCTCTCCAATGGTGACAGATAAACACAAAGTTTTTTTTGTTTGTTTGTTTGTTTTTTATTGTTGTAAAAAAAATTACTTAGTTAATTCTTAATATTATCACTGTATGTAATTTTGTAGTGTTGCAGAAATAAGGCCAAACAGGTTGTTAATAAATATAGCTGCTGTTTGTGGAGTTGCTTAATGATCCTCTGCTGAGATTTTGAGAGATTTGATGTGTTTTATTTAGTTTATTTTATGTACGGCTGTTACTGAAGGTAGATGTAGTTTTGTTTTTCTCTACTGTTTCTGCTTATTAACAGCAGGTGTTCATCATCAGTGCTCAATCATTACTTAATTAACCCCATCATTGTCTCATTAACTTTAACTCTGCTGCTGAGTAAATTTTGCTCAATTTAGAGAGGGACCAAATGTTCTCTGAACTGAGTAAATTTTACTCTGATGATTTTACTGTGTACATGACCGCCCTGTTTTCCAGAAAGATTTTAAGTTTCGCCGGCGGTGGTGTTTAAAACTTAATCCCCTTTTCTTTCAGAATTTTTCTATACGGGACTATAAAACATGTACGAACAGAGAGAGATATCTGCCATGTCCCTTTGAAGTCGGCAGAGAGTACTTCAGGACTGTTCTGTGGAACGTCCCAAACTCGTTACTTGTCAGCAGGAATTTTTTTAGGCCAGACTTTTTGTCACCGAGTGACCTAAATTGCCCCGAAAATTGAAACCAGATCATTTTCATGGAATGTTGAACGAAATGTTTATCTCCAGCATATATGTTACACTTATATACCTGCTAGACATGCAGATGAACCTGTCTCATACAGCTGCTATTGCACGGCTCAAAGACACTTTGTAGAGAGAAATTTAGCACAACTGCCTCTAGGAGTCACCAATGGAAATAAAACAAACACACACAAGAAATGTGCATACGCCAGGCATGAAGTTGGGTGGATCTGCACACATTCCCACATTATTTCATCATTAGTAAAGCAAAGATTTTAGGTTTTTGTGTTGATACATGAGGCCCCAGGTTCATTGTTTTGTATTCCAGGAAGAATACCACTGCTGATCTAGGCTGTGCGTCAGCAGGTGGTTTTGGTCTGAGTGCCCGGTGACACTGTTGGATTTTAAGGTCCAATTCATCAAGTAACATTTTAATAATCGTTTCCATCAAGTCTTGGATATTATTCCCTTCGCTTCCTTCCGGGATGCCAAAAATCGAATATTATTGCTACGGGAGCGTGTTTCTAGATTTTACAGTTTCTCTTGTAAATTTTCTTGAATTTGGATGATTTGAGCATTTCTTTCATCTCAGCAACGTTCTTCTTAAATTCTCCAACTCGCTGCTCCGCTTCGTTGACCTTTTCTGCCGTTGTGTTAAGGTCCGTAATGAGGCCATAAAGTTTTTGATAGACTTCTTATTTAAAGTTACTTAGTTCCATTTTCACGTCTTTTGCGAGAGAATCTTGGAAGGTGGTTAAATCGGATTTTATATCCATCCGGAAAGTTTTGATGTCTGTATGTATTGCTGCACTGCAAGCTGACAGGCTATCAGCTATCCCGTCTGTCTCAGATTTTTCATCTGTGGATTTCCATTTTTTTTCAGGTTTCAATGTTTGTTTTGTCTTAGCCTTTTTGTTTTTGTCCCCCTCCATGTTACATAAATATGGTTTAGGTTATCATATATGATGTAAAAAGAGGGATTAATGCCTGTGTGTATGGTAGTGCTCTTTCTAGGCTGCTACACTGTCGACACCATACCAGAAACCATCCCATGTGTCTCTGAAGCTGCCCAGAATGAGTGAAACTGAAGACAATGATTATGTCTACGGTTTCTCTCCAGTGTGAATCCTCTCATGTGTTTTCAGGGTTCCTGAGTGAGTAAACCTTTTGCTGCACTGTGAACACTTGTACGGTTTTTCTCCAGTGTGAATCCTCTGGTGCCGTTTCAACTCTGCTCAAAGCACACATACTCTCTCACACCGAGAGATCTTCATGTGTTTATTACAATGTGATAGGTGGCTGAAACTCTTTCCACAATGAGAACATGTGAATGGACTCTCTCCAGTGTGGATCCTCATGTGTTTATTAAGATATGATGATTGGCTGAAACTCTTCCCACACTGAGCGCATGTGAATGGTTTTTCTATCGTGTGGGTCATCATGTGTCTGCAAAGCGATGATGATATCATGAAACTCTTCCCACACTGAGTGCATGTGAATGGTTTCTCTCCAGTGTGAATCATCATGTGTAGATTAAGGTGTGATGATTGGCTGAAACTCTTCCCACACTGAGTGCAAGTGAATGGTTTCTCTCTAGTGTGGATCCTCATGTGTTTATTAAGGTATGATGATTGGCTGAAACTCTTCCCACACTGAGTGCATGTGAATGGTTTTTCTATCGTGTGGGTCATCATGTGTCTACAAAGCGATGATGATATCCTGAAACTCTTCCCACACTGAGTGCATGTGAATGGTTTCTCTCCAGTGTGAATCATCATGTGTTGATTAAGGTGTGATGAGTGGATGAAATTCTTCCCACACAGAGTGCAAGTGAATGGTTTCTCTCCAGTGTGGATCCTCATGTGTAGATTAAGGGATGATGATTGGCGGAAACTCTTCCCACACTGAGTGCATGTGAATGGTTTCTCTCCAGTGTGGATCCTCATGTGTAGATAAAGGTTTGATGATTGGTTGAAACTCTTCCCACACTGAGTGCATGTGAATGGTTTCTCTCCAGTGTGGATCCTCATGTGTAGATTAAGGGATGATGATTGGCTGAAACTCTTCCCACACAGAGTGCATATGAATGGTTTTTCTCCGGTGTGGATCTTCATGTGTCTATAAAGCGATGATGATTTGCTGAAACTCTTCCCACACTGAGTACATGTGAATGGTTTCTCTCCTATGTGGATCATCATGTGTTCATTAAGGTATGATGATTGGCTGAAACTCTTCCCACACTGAGTGCATGTGAATGGTCTCTCTCCAGTGTGAATCATCATGTGAATCTTCAGTTTGCTTTTGCTTGACAAACTCTTTCCACACTGAGTGCAGGTAAAACAACTCTTGTCTCTCGCTTTTAAAATACCATCAGTCTCTAAATGAGTTTTGTCTTCAATTTTGAAATGATGTTCCTCCTCTTTACTCCTCTCATACTCTTTAATTAGATCTGAAATAAAAAAGTTCAGTTTTTAGTAAATCATTAAAACTCTCATTGAATCACCTTAATTTTGATGCAGATTAAATGTAAAAACAGCAGATCATATTTAGATTGATCTTTTCATTTCAACCTCCTGGGGTTCATTACACACAAACACATTTAAGCAGATTCTTAAATGATTAATCCCAGATCATTTTGGTCATATTGATGAGACATAAATTTGAAAACTGTAAATGGCCAGTTTTTTTTTTTTTGTATATAATTGTAATCACAACAAAGCAACATGTTTTTGTAAAACTTGTAAAGCAGATAGGGAATGCTTTCTTATTCTGTGCCTGACTGGTAAACCTGTCAGGAAAAAAACAGCTGAATCTCTGTGAATATTTGCCTCACAGACATATCTGCATAAAGCCTTAAATCTGCACCTTTAAATGACAAATGTTCTCTGGTTTAGTAATCTGCATGTAAGAAATGTAATGCAGAATTCTAACACTTTGAACTACATAGCCTTGTGTGAAAATGTTTTTCCCCATTAAAACCACTTTAATTTATCACACTGGCTTCAAGTTTTCTGGCCACACCCAGACCTGATTACTACCACACATTCACAATCAAGAAATCTTCTAAATAGGACCTTTCTGACATAGTGAAGTAGACCAAAACAGCCTCAAAAGCTAGAAATCATTCCAAAATCTAAAGACCTTTAAACACAAACAAGAAAGAAAATACATGTGTCAAGAGTAAAAAAATAAATAAATAGAGTGAACTCAAATGCAGAAAAAACAACAAGTCTTTATTGAGGAGTGAGTCCTGGAAAAAGCAAATATCAAAGCAAACAAGCGGTTGGGTGAGCGCTGAGTAATTGCCATGGGGGAAAAAAAAAACAGACACTGGCTCACCAGTAGTCCTGAAAACAAATACAGGGTAAGTAAAAAAATAATTTGTACACAAACAATCGAAAACATTCTCACAAACATGAAGGGAAATGATGTGGTATAAACAGGAAAAAGAGAAACGAGAGCTCCTTTGACTGCAAATAAAAGCAGATGACGAAATAATCTGTAACCCAAAACAGGAGGAGAGAACAAACACGTGACATACGGTGACAGTACCCCTCCCTTAAGAACACCCCCTGGCATTCCCTTAAGACTCACTATGGACCTGATGAAACTGATCAATGAGTAAGCGGTCCAGAAAATTCAGAGCCGGAATCCAACATCTGTCCTCTGGACTTCCTGTCTACTTGATATTGATAACTTATCTACCTATCCTCCTCACATCCAGAAGCCAGTGCACTGTGTATGTAAGTGCACCCTAAACCAGCCTGGGAGGCAGAGGAGCAGAGGTTAAGGGCTGCAAGGGGGAGAGAATTGGTTTATTTAAGAATACATTCATAAATATTCCTAGCAAATGTAATAAATGTTGGAGACACTTGTTACATAAACGCAATAAGTCGCACTTCTGCAGCAATTATTTGAGAGTGCACAAGAAGATCTGCGCTTGAGCAGCAAATATTTGGGGGGCGTGCAAGAAAGTTTTGTGCACGAGCAGGGGAAATCGGTGCACAAGCAAAGAGATTTGGATACAAGCTTGCAGGCTATTACATAAATGCGATCTTAACTTGTAATACTGCGCTTGCGACATTTGCCACTGAAATAACGTTAGACGTGTAAAAAAAAAAGGCCTGCCGCCACAGCTGGTAAAAATCCTACAAGAAACAGTGGATCTTGAAAAAAAATGGATGAATGTTTTTAAACTTGGAGCTTAATTTAAGTTGTACCAACACTGGACTGAGCACCTTGATAATGGTAAATGGTCCAATGAATTTGGGTCCCAATTTATGGGAGGAAAGTCTGAGAGCAAAGTCTTTGGAAGACAACCAGACTTTCTGACCACACATGTATAGAGGGGGCAGACGCTTCAGTCCTATTGCCAGCCCTTTTCTGGTGATACTCCATGTCTAGAGGCATCTCTGAATGAACGAATACATGAGGGAACAATGTCATCTGGTTCTTGGGAAGAGAGTACACTTTTTTTCACAAGGCCACCATTTTAAAGAACGAAAGCTAGGCTGGGGTGAGAAAAAAAACTTAAGTATAGGATCAGCACTGTAAACATTGCAACAACATGCTGTGGACTACAAACCTCCAGCTGTTGCTGCGATTTCAAAATGCAAATGGTGTAAACATCACTTTAATATCATTCAGTTCAGTTTAATTTAAACAATTAAAAGCAGGTTAGGTATTAAACTAAATTACAATCTCTTTAAGAATAATACGCTTAAGTGTCCTCCTAGGATTCAGTTCATGGCACCAGGTAAACACAGTGGGGACCATTCCTTGCTTCAGCCTATGTAACCGGGTGAGCGATAAAACATTGCAGTCCTCTGTAGCACACCCCTCGTGTTGTCTGTAATAGTGTTGTCACGGAACTGAAGTTTTAAAAACGTTCATTTCTCGCTAACATTTAAGTGCCACTCTTAAACAGTGCTGATTTGGCATAGTGTTTACTGGTGCCCACCAGAAATGGCTGTGATTAAGATATACATCCAGGTACACAATGTTCCTGTGTGACTCCAGGGGATACTTCCAGGATTCTTCCCAAAGCGGCCTCGATTTTGCTTTTAAAATGGCGGCCTCGAGAAATCAGTCTACAGAGGGGGCTGGTAGCCTAAGCAGCAGTGAAAGGGAGACAAGCCCATAGGCAACATAGGAAGGGAGTTATATGCATATTTGACCATGGTTAATCTGAAACTCCAAGATAATGGCAACGCAACGCAAGACCCTCTCCAGTCACAGATTAGCTTGCTCGGCCTGGCCATTGGTCTGTGGGTGGTGCTCGTGAGAGAGGCTAGCAGTTGCCCCCCGCTGTCAGCAGAATTCTGCCCAAAACCTGGACACAAATTGGGGACCCCTGTCTAAAACCATGTGAACTTGGAGGCCATGAATACGGAATACGAAGATCCAAAACAATGGCTGCTGTCTTCCTCGATGAAGGTAATTTGGGGAAGGGAATAAAGTGAAGCTGCCTTCAAGAATCTGCCCACCACAGTGAGGACTACTGTGTTGCACAGGATGGGGGTAACCCAGTGACAAGCCAACACAAACTGAACAGTGTTACACACCATTTAGAGGCACCAGAACCATTATTATTGAATAACCATGATTAACCCAAGGGTGCTATCTGCTCCTGGATGGCAGGCTAGCTCAGATGAGTGACCCCTACATAAGACATACCTGTACAGCATCTGCATAAAGGCTGGAATGTGCACCTTTCTTCTTGTGTGCTGTTGGGTCATTTTCATCCAATCTGGGGTGATTTTGAGGCTTAATTTGACCAAAACTTTCTCTGTGTTTCAGCAAACAGATTGATATTAAGGGACTTCTTATTTTGACATATTCTGGGAAAATGCTTTGCAATAAAAAAATAAAAAAACTATACACTCTGGGCAAATTTACTCCATTTTCGTTATATTCATAGCTGCGTTTTTTCCATTGGCCTCTATTATGACCAGGGCTTTACCTTAACTTTTTTTAATTACAGGCCACTGTGGCTAGTTGTTTTCCAATGTTACTGGCCACTAAGCATTTTTACTAGCCACAATTTTGTTGTTGGGAAAATATATTTTATATGCATAAATTTGATGGTGACATGCTAAACTTACTTGATTTAAATTTTGTGTTATGTCCACATGCTTCCTAATTCATTTCACTTTTTGTGTGTCGAGTATGAGTTTGCTCAATGAGCATGAGCAAAGGAGTCATGGTTTCATAGTGTTATACTGCAATTAGTTTTTATTTCACATGACTTTTTTAGAGCTCAAAATTAACGATGTACCAAATTTATCTCTATAACCACACGAAACAATAATTATTTTTTAGCCACAAATTTTTAATGTGTCAAAACAAGCAAAATATAGCTGTTAACTGTACTTTTTATTCAACAAAACATTTCTTAAAACATAAAGAAAAGCAATTGACTTTTAAAAAATAACTATTGTCATGTATCAAAAATATGCACAGTAATCTGTCATGGCTAAAGATCTCTCGAATCTATTAAATATTAATTATTAAACCATTTTAACAAAAATAAAAGCAAATAAAACCGTAAGCAAATGAAAGCAGGTGAAACATACCGTATGTGATAATGAAAGGATGATATATCTTCATACACACGGTTAACTTTAGGCCATTTAATAATCTGTTCAAAGTGAAAGCAACCGGTACTGCTTACAAAAAGACACATTTTAAGCTCTTAAAAGCATTAGGACCGTGGGTGCATGTTCATCACTTTTTGTCTAGTTTATTTGAAAGAGAACCGATTGAACAGGGTTGCTTCACGATTCGGGAGCGCGCACGCGTTAAGCAGTCGCGCACATCACATCAGCTGGTAGTGCGGGTGATCAACATTCTCTCATTCGGTATTCACTTGCTTTCTTCTGCTCGCATGATTACAATTATTTTACTTCTCGATTCTAAGATCACATTGGCACACATATTGGGGCATCCTTGTATTGCTGGACCCCGCTTTTAGGAAAACTAAAATTTAAAAAAAAAAATTTAACCAGCCAAAGTGGCTAGTGGGATTGTCTGTCTAACCCGCCAAAGCTGAAATCTACCCGCATTTGGCGGGTTGGCTGGTGTTAAAGGGTCACGAAACACCAAAACACAGTTTTTGAGCTGACAGTTGTATATGTGTCCCACACTGCTAAAAACACTATTAGGACACATATATTTCACTTAAAAGTGTAAATTGGTTGTTTTTGCGTTATTTTAAGCAAATTCGTACTTCCGGTTTGAAACGAATTTTTAAAGCTTCGTCACGGTCATGACATAATAGCCT